TTGTATAAAAAAATTATCAAGTGGACTATTTTATTGTACAATTTTATTGCGCATTGTAAAACTTGTATTGATATTGCATATTATAATATAATATTTCCCAAATAAATATATTCCGTGTCTCGCACAGGTCACGTACTATATATATACCGTACATTTTTCTTTATTCATTTATTCTTGCATAAAAGAATGGATAAATGACCTTAAAATTGTGCACCCCGTGCATCGCACGGGCTCTGTACTAATGTTTAAAAAAATATGGCAACATTTTCATTTTAATTAACTCGTATGATTGCAGAATTAATTGGTTGCCATTTTTAACACAGTCAACTCTTTTCCAAAAATAATGGCCTTGTTTGGCGATCAGCGGATAGCAGATAGCGGATAGCAGATTGTATTAGCGGATAGCGGATTATATTAGTTGATTTGACCAGCGGATTGCATTAGCGGTTTTTAAATAAGTGTTTGGTAAATAACTGAAAGCTTATAACTGTTGACATTGCAAAATGACCAATAATGACATTTTATTATTGAGGGTGTATACTTTTAATAATAATATTAAAACATTTGATATTCTTTAGTGGGTAATTTATAAATATATTATTATTTTTTTTAAATTTACTAACACTTGATGAAGAAGTTATGAATTTTATATTTTTCTAGATAATTAATCATATGGATGACATATTATTATTTATTAGCACCATAAACCAATGTAGATTGTAAAATAAATAATACAAATTAAAAAGTTTCAAGTAAATAATTTTTGTGAATCTTTTATACCAAAAAGTTGCTATAATGAGCTTTTTATAAATTAGAGTTTTGAGCGCAAAAAACTTATCAAATAAGATATTTACCAAACATGCTCAATAGCGTATTTGACAGATCAAACCTCTCAATTAAGTCAAATTCACTAATTTATCTTCAATTCGCTATCTTCCAAATGGGGCCAAGTTGTTTTTAATAAAGAAAATAAAAAACGAAAAAAAAGAGCCAATAACAAAAAATGACAAAGTGATACCTAGATATAATTTAAAAGGTTTTCTTAAAAGAATAAGAGCCAGTAATTATATTATATATAGATTTTTGGTGATCAAAACATAATGAGATTTCATAATTTAAAAAAAATAAAAAATAAAAATCAAATTGCTAAAATAAAAAAAAATGTATTATTAAATTAGTTGGTGAATTTGTGATTATGCACACCATAGGTCAAAGATAGGATCACGTGTAGAAATTTCGTCTCCCTCCCAAACGGTCCAAAAATGGCAAAAAGAAAAGAAAAATGGTTTCAAAAGCTGAGGCGCGAAATTTGCACCTACTCCCGCGCCTCCCCCACCCCATTTATCTATCCTCCAAAATCCACCATTTTCCCCAAAACCCTTTTCCCTTCATCCATTTTTATGCTCCGTGCGTGTCCTCACGCGCCGCCGGATGCAGGGCCACCTACCTCACCCCGTCACCCCCATCTCCGACGCCGACTTCCTGATCAGGCGCGGCAAGAAGAGGGGGGGCTACAACTGCGGCCGCTGCGGGCTGCCCAAGAAGGGCCACCGGTGCCCTTACCCCACCGAAGACGCCGACCCGGCGACCCCCATGTCCACACCGACCGCCGCCGCCGAAGATCAGTCATCCGCACCCGCCACGCTCGGGTCGGCGGTGGCGGCGGAGAAGCTGGTCTGCGCGACGCCACCGCCCGCGGTCCGGCGCCGGCGAGCTCTGTTGTTTGATGACACCAGCGTAGCTGAATCGATCGATGTTCTGGACGAGGAGCGGTTCGATCTGGAGGAGGAGGATCCGGATCTGGACGGGTCGGGTGGGCTGCCGATGAGCTGCCTGTGGGAGGTTCTGCGGAGGCTGCCTCCGGCGGGGCTGCTCTCGGCGGCGAGGGTGTGCAGGGGGTGGAGAGAGACGACTAGAAAGCTGTGGCGTGCGGCGGAGGAGCTCCGTCTCAGAGTCCCGGCTAAGGCGCAGATTGAATTTGTGGGGTCCATTCTGCAGAAATGCCCTGGCCTGTTAAGACTATCGATTAGAATCGAAAGGTTAGGGTTCTAAAGACCGGAGTTAGATCCAAGGATTCGTGGATTGGATCCGATGATTAGTGAATCTTAGGACTTAGGAGTTAGAAATCACTGTCTTATCCAAGAATTCAAACGAATCTAATAATCTAAGGTTAAAAAACTCGGTACATTTTCTCATTTGGGACAGTTATCTATTCAAAACCCAACAGTCAATAACTATGAGATAGCTATTAAAAAGATTCAATGATATAAAAAAAATGATCTTTTTTATTTGGGTTTTGTTTTCTTTGCAGACTGAAGAACTTGATGAATTTTGATTATTAATATGAGCTGTTTTCATCTAATGATAAAGTAAAATTGCTGTTGGTTTTGCAGTGATTTTGATGCAACAATGCTGGCCTGTATTGCCTTCTCTTGCCCAAACTTGCAGTCTCTGGAGATCTTTACTGCTGATTCCTCTACTAATCGGATCTCTGGGTAGCAATCTTGACTCCTTGAATACATCTATCTATACATGGTGGTTGTTTATTTTAGCAATGTGGATATATATATTTTGTTCAGCAATAATTGGCTATTTTTCATATATTTGATATATTTAACACATGCTTGAACTTAGTTTCATGTGTCGTTCGCGGCGAGTTGAATGTATTCGTGGTTTCAAGTTCAACCTAACTGGCTTATTTTCCATATTTGGCAAATTGTTCGTCAATTATAAGATTTTTGGATCTCCACATTTTATATACAATTGGTTTATTGTGTGCAACTGTGCATCAAGATAACTCGATGTATTGCATTTATCATGGAGTGAAATTAATTAATTAACTGATGTGTACAAACACTCGATTCAGGGATGAGTTGAGTCGTTTTATTGCCGATAAAAGATGCCTAACCAGTCTCAAGATGGAAGGTGGCTGTAACCTTGAGGGTTTTATATTGTCTTCAACTAGTCTCTCTACTCTCTGGCTTTCAGATCTTCACTCCCTTTCTAAGATGGTAATTGCTTGTTAGAGATAGAACAGTTCTTCCTGATAATGTGTGATTGCTTATTTGTTTTTATCTTTTATTTTTCAATTGGCTTATCACACATTATCCTGCACAGATTTTCAACTGCCCAAATTTAAAGGAGCTTTCTTTGAACTTTTCTTGCCAAGAAAACGATAACACTGACCTTAGAACTGTTATGGATGCATTGGGAAGAAGCTGCCCTAAGCTTCAAAACATCCATATTTCTTCAGTTTTGCTCTCACATGACGTTGTGTTAGCCCTCTCAGCTGCAAATTTGAGGTTTACCTTTTATCTTCATGATTAGTGAATTTAATTTCCAATTATATGATCTTGGTTTTCTTGATAAATTTTTATATGCTTCTGCAAAAATTAGGGGATTGCGAATGCTATCTCTTGTTCTTGGACCAGGGATAACCGATGCTTCAGTGGCAGCTATTGCTTCAAGTTTTCCAAAACTGGAGTTGCTCGATTTAAGTGGGTACGTGTTTTTTCATTTTTTAATAAACGAATACTTATCTATCTGAAATGCTTTGAGATTTTTTGGTTATGTAGTGAATGATGTATTTTTTTCTCGGTAACAATTGCTTAATGTTAGGTCTAGCATCAGTGACAGTGGCATTGGGATGATTTGCAATGTCTTTCCCGATACTTTATCGAAACTTCTACTTGCTCTTTGTCCAAACATCACTTCAAGTAAATTCCTATGTCCTGTATTCTTGCAATTCATATATTCTCATCAGTTAAGAACTTTTTTTTTGTAATTTTTTTAATTTTTATTCCTTCATGTTTTGCTAGGTGGCATTCAATTTGCTGCTGCCGAGCTTCCTCGTCTAGAACTTATGGACTGTGGAATGACCATTTGTGATCCCAATTCTGAAAAAAACTCCAATGAAGAGGATAATAACGATCCTGAATTACAAAAGACGTCCAATAGCTCGCCACACATTACACACCAGAAGTTAATTATCAAGCACAATCGCATGAAGAAACTAAGCTTATGGGGTTGTTCTGGCCTTGATGTAAGAGATCTCATTTTGATTTTTATTTCTGAATTTGTCCGCAATTCGTTGTAATCTGATAATGAGAATCATTGAAAAAATGCAGGCTTTGTATTTAAATTGTCCTCGTCTTACTGAATTGAACCTCAATTCTTGTAGGAATTTGCATCCAGGTACTTCCCATTTAGTTTAATTGAATCGAACCTGCTAAAATCAATTTGAAATTCTACATAAGTGTTCCGTTTGTACTTCAAATTTATCAACGATATTTGCAACTGCATTTCGAAACCAGAGAGACTGCTACTTCACTGTGTCGATCTAGAAAGTGTGCATGCTTCTGATTGTGAAGAAATGCTTGTAAAGACCATTGAAGCTCAGGTAGAAACTACAATATAATCTCACTTGATTTATTATCATTTTATTCTGAGCACAATATTTGCTTAATTAATTACAATGTTTTGAACTCCTTTGCAGGTTTTGGGTGATTTTGGTGCTTCTGATAATCAGTTTCCCTCCAAAAGATTGCCCGATGGCTCGAAAAGGGTTCGGATTCCATATTTCTGCAGCCCTGGGGTAAAAATTTCTAACCTACCTTAAACCAGTTAAGTTCTTAATGAAATTATCGAACTATTGTAACTAAAATTATGTGTACTCAGACTTACAAATCCTACAAATTCTTGCAGCCATGTGAGGATTATGATAATAAACGTCGTAGGGTTGTGAAAAGATCGGTGAATGTGATGCCGTAAAATTCGAGCAAATTTTTTTTGCTTGATTTTGTGATCGATGATTTGAACCTGTATGTACTTGTTTTGTTGTTCAATTATGTAGAGGGATGAACTAATAGGATCAATAAAATTAAAGATTTACTTGTTTTAACTTGATGTTTTATGTCTTGTGGCTGTGATTATTTTGTGTACTTAAAAAAAAAAAAACTTTAGTTTAGTTTTTAGGTTTGATCTCAATTTACTGTTGTTAAATTAAACGAGCTTGACTTGGCTTGGCTCAAGCTCGGCTCGTTAAAGCTCGAGTTCATTTAAAGCTCGAGCTCATTTAAAGCTCGTTTGGTTAACGAGCCGAGCCAAGGCTTGTTAAGGCTCGAAAAGTTTTTATATAATTTTTAATAGTTCGGCAAGTTAAAGCTTGAGACCAGCTCGTTAAAGCTCAAGCTTGATCTTAGGCTTGTTTATCTGACGAGCTGAGCTCGAACACCTTAAGCTCGAGTTTGAACACCTTAAACTCGAGCTCGGCTCGGCTCGGCTTGGTTCGTTTACAACCCAAGATCTCATGTCTTATTTACTCTGTTAATATTGGATGGAGTTGTTCATTCTCAAACAACTAAAATTTGAGATGCTTCAAAGTATCCCACTGGCCTTTTGTCCTTTTCATTTTAGAAACGAATAAAGAAAAGTAAATCGCTATTCACCGTCTTCCTATTACTACGTATTGCCCTCCCCATTTATGAACTTACCCTTCACTCTAAATCTTTTGACTTTTCTGTACTCTCTCAATTTCTCTAAAATTTTGATTTTCAACGAGCCATTTGAGCTTCAAAAAAATTTCGAAAAAATGTCGAAGAAATTTTGTGGCCTCCAATAGCAAGTTAATTTTTTTTTCTCGTTGTAAATAATTTTAATTTTTTTTAAAAAATTCTGCCACCGCGTCCGTCCGGCGCTACCGGATGTGGCTCGGGCCGTACGGATCGTGATTGTGTACGGCCTGTGAGCGATTGCTCGGCTTTATCGGTTGCCCACTAATGGCGTCTGGTAAATGAGAAGGGCAAAATTGTCCAGATGGCGGTGACTAGTAATAGAGAGACGGTGAATAATAATGCCCTAAAGATAATCACAAAGTCTTCGCATAAACAGGTATGTTTGTTAAGAGTTGAGACACTATATTATTACTTGAGTTTTTTTAATATAAGATCTTAAAGATGGGTAAATTATCAAATCGGGGTTTGAAAGATTTTTTTTCTAAATTCAGGACCTAAATGTAAACATTGGCATAATATATATATATAAAAAAAAAAAAACAGATATAGATGATAACAAGAAAACCGAGCAAGAACTTCCTATATATAATTTATATATTTGACTCGCCAATTATATAATATTTGCCGTTTTCCCTGTTTTAGAATTAATACAAAAATTTAACATATTCAAATAGGATAAAAAAAATAATACTCAAACAAATATTATAAACTGACAGTTAATTTATAATAATGTAGTTATGACATTTAAAATTTAATAATTTTCAATTACGTTAAAATTATTATTATTTCATTAATTTACGTATATAATAATATTTAAATTTTCTTGATGTTGACATGTATGAAATTAATTCTCTGGTTTTGCTTGATGTTGAAGGAAAACCTCCTAATGATGCTAAATGGCGGGTAAATAATAATAATAATAATAATAATAATAATAATAATAATAATAATAACAATAATAATTTATTATTATTATTATTATTATTATTATTATTATTATTATTATTATTATCTTAACCTTTCTAGTTTCTACACAATGCTAGTTTCTTTGAGTAATCAACCCTTGTAGACATCTCAAGGTCAATCCGAGGATGACACAAAAGGAACACCACGTTCAAATTATTTGCATCTGTAACTTTGTTAGTTAAACCATTTGATCAGTCCATTTTCGGTTTATTAGGTTTGTATCTGCTTTATTTTGTGTTCAAAGTTCAAACGTTAACCTCGATTATACAATAAAACATGCCCTACTAGCATTTGTTATTCTCTTAACCCACCAACTCAATCCTGAGTTAAACGGAAAAATTGGAGATTTAGTCATGTAACCGACACCAAATTGAAAAATAGTCCGATGGTTGTGTTGATTTTACAAAACACTCTGTAACTACAAAAATACCCGATTCTTAGTCCTTCACCGACAAAAGCCGGTTAATTTGACCGACTATTGAGTTGGATATGTTAGTCAGTTGCCACGTGTACAGAAAAAAAAAAATATCCACGTCAGCAATTGTTTTCATATTAACAATGAAAACTATTATAATATGACAAGTTTTAGCAAAGCATAAACATCACTAAACACATAAATACAGGTCAAATAGGTACTTAAAGAGACTGAACAAAACTAGAGGTTCAAGTCACAAGAGTGAATCAAATTTTTAGATAATTAAAAATACCTTATTAATATTTAGAGTAGGAACCAAATCATACAACAAATGGTACATAAACAAATTCTTCTCCTCCAAACGGATTGATTTAGCTTCTGCTTTTGCATTTCTCCATGGCTCGAGGTGCTGAAAATGGGGAAGAATAATTAAGGTTCAGTTGCCCATTTCAGTTAATTATGGTCCGGATTTTGGGGGTTGCAATGTGCAAAATATATTTGAAAACAAGATCAACAAACACAAGTTGTTGGAAGTTGGAACAATCAATACAAAAAAAATCCAGCTGCCTTCGGCATTACGTTTTCTAAAGTTGCTGTGAATAATAACGTTTTTATACTACGTCTCACCTAGTCCCTTCGCTTCTGTTCCTTTCATTATACGGAGGCGCTTGCACGATTCAGCGAACATCCTAATTTCACATCAACACAAAACACAATTGGTCACGAGTTTCAGAGAGGTGCTTATTCTCTTGCATTTGTGGCAGAAAGTATAATAAGGGCACGTTTGCTTTCCGAGACAGGATTGTATTAATCTTAAGAGACAAGATTGTACTGTTTAGACTAGAATTGTTTTATGTTTGTTGTGAAAAACTAACATTTTCAGACATTGTTGGGGATAACTTTGATCCTGCATTTGTTTGGTATGACTAGACGTAATATACAATCATAAAATTTCAATTTTTACCCTTGCATTATTTTTTCCAATAATTGAGGTGTGAGGGAAGTTCCCATAAATGAAAAAAAAA